TGCCAAGACACAAGTCCCATGTGCTTACCTATGCAGTCCCATGCACACATCATACAGTGAAAGTAAGAGCACAGAAACATTGAAACAACTTTCCAATCTTTGTGCAGGCACGGATGACATAACTTAGTGACAAGCAGTTAAGTTCCAACAGCAAGATTGTGCAGCCACCCCTGTCCACTGCTATATAATATATAATGCTACAGTGTGCAAATCTCTATATTTAGGGAGCAGGTTCTGTACTGCTCCACCTCCCCTGTCCCTCATTCCTCCTCCCACTCCCCAAAAGAAACTTAACTTTGTTCATATCCCTGAAGGATATCTTAACTGCAGAAGAGCTCTTCATGCATAGCACTCATGATGTATTCTAATTCAGTATACATGCTAAAGCAAAGTGATGATATTCATCTAGTTGTGTTTGACCTCAAAATGGATAACTTCATGAGGTGAGAAATAATTAGACAATAATTCAAAAGGATAGCTGAAATAGAAACAAAAACAAACAAACAAAAAAGCAGCTATTTAAAGGCAGCCTGCTTCCAAAGCATCACTCTCCCAAAATTATCTATTAAGTAGTACTTATTTACCTAAATAAGTAATGATGTAGATATCACAATCTCAAAGGTATGGAAGAACTGGAAAGCGCACACTAAAGCATCATAGAATAAAATCATGGAATCATAGAATAACTCAGGTTGGAAAAGACCTTGAAGATCATCGAGTCCAACCATGACCTAACCATACTACTCCAACAACCCTCCACTAAATCATGTCCCTGAGCACCACATCCAAATGGATTTTAAACACGTCCAGGGATGGTGACACAACCACCTCCCTGGGGAACCTATTCTAGTGCTTAACAACCCTTTCTGGAAAGAAGTGTTTCCTAATATCCTCAACTTAACCCTGGCTCAACTTGAAGCCATTTCCCCTCATCCTGTCACCTGTCACCAGTGAGAAGAAATCAAACCCGCTCATGCTGTAAGCACCTTTCTGATGTTGGAAGAGAGCAATAATATCTCCCCTCAATCTCCTTTTCCCCAGACTGAACATCCCCAGTGCCTCCAGTCTCTCATAGGGCATATTCTTCAAGCCCTTCACAAGCCTTCTTGCTCTTCTTTGGACCTGCTCCAGCATCTCCATGTCCTTCCTGTACTGAGGTGCCCAAAACTGAATGCAGTACTGGAGGTGAGGCCTCACCAATGCCGAGTACGGGAGCAGGATTACTTCCCTAGTCCTGCTCACCACTCCATTCCTGATATAAGCCAGGATGCCATTGGCCTTCTTGGCCACGTGGGCACACTGCTGGCTCATATTCAGCTGGCTGTCTGTCAGTACACCAAGATCCCTTTCTAACAGGCAGCTATCCAGCCACTCCTCCCCAAGCCTGTAGGGTTGCCTGGGATTGTTGTGACCAAAATGCAGGACCCAACACTTGGCCCTATTGAAACTCATGCAGTTGGCCTTGGCCTATCAATCCAGTCTGTCCAGGCTTCTCTGCAGTTCCCTGTTCCCCTCAGGCAGATCAACATTCCCTCCCAAATTGGTGTCCTTTGCAAACTTACTGAGGGTGCACTCAATCCCCTCATCAAGATCATTAATAAGGATGTTAAATAAAAGCTACCTCAGTACTGAGCCCTGGGGAACAGCATTCATGACCGGCAGCCAAAAGGATTTAACTCCATTGATCACAACTCTTTGGTCTCTGCCATCCAGCATTTCACCCAACGGAGCATACACCCATCTAAACCGTGGGCAGCCAGCTTCTCCATGAGAATGTTGTGGAGGACAGTGTCAAAGGCCTTACTGAAGTCCAGGTAGACCACATCAACAGCTTTCCCGTCATCCACTAAGCGGGTCACCTTGTCATAGAATGAAATCAGGTTTGTCAAACAGGCTCTATGGTTTGTAAACTCATGCTGACTGGGTCTGATCCCCTGGTTGACCTTTAATTGGCCCATGATGGCTCCTGAGATTATTCATTCCATTACCTTCTCAGGCACCAAGGTGAGACTGATAGGTTTGTAGCTTCCAGGATCATCTTTCCAGCCCTTTCTGAAGATGGGTTTCACATTTGCCAGTCTCCAGTCCACTGGGACATCCCCAGTTACCCAGGAAGACTAAGGGGACTGAAACCATTTGCTATGACTGAAATTAGTATATTAGGATCACTTGTACTTGTAAAGAAATAATTCAGCTTCACCAAGAAGCACTTAGAGGTCAAACCAGGAATTGTTTATTCTTCACAGTATAGAATAATAGAATGTCTTGGTTTGGAAATTCCAAACCCTCTGCTGTGGGTAAGGTTGCTACCCCGTTAAATCAGGTTGTCCAGGATTCCATCCAACCTGTCACTGAACACCTCCAGAGATGGGCCATCCACAGCTTCTCTGGGCAACCTATTCCTATGCCTAACCACACTATGAGTAAAGAATTTCTGCCTCACATCTAACTAAAATAACCTTCTTTTAGTTTAAAAACATTCCCCCTTGTCCTATCAGACCATGCAAAAAGACCATGTGAAAAGTTAATCATCTTTTTTATAAGCTTCCTTAAGTACTAAAAGGCCAAAATGAGGCTCCCTTGGAGCCTTCTCCAGGATTAACAAGCCAAGCTTCTTCAACCTTTCTTTGGAGAAGAAATGCTGCAGTCCTTTGATCATCTTTGTGGTCCTCCTCTGGGCATGCTTTGACAGCTCCACGTCTTTCCTGTGCTGGAAACCCTGAGACATGGAAGCAGTACTCCAGGTAGTGCCTCAGAAGGACAGAGGCCTCCCTCATCTGCTGGCCACCCCCTCCCGATGCTGTTCAGGAAACCATTGGCTACCTGGGCTGCAGGTGCACACTGCTGGTTCATGTCAATCATTTTATCCACCAGAACCCCCTGGTCCTTCTCCACACGGCTGCTCTCAGTGAGTTCTTTTCCCAGCATGTACAAATATCTGGCATTGTCCTGTAGCACCTTCCTCTTGACATTGTTGAAACTCATTTGTTTCACGTGGGAAAACTTTTCAAGCTTTTCCAGATCCTTTTGGATAACATCCCTTCCTGCTGTTGTATCAACTGCACCACTCAGCTTAGTGCCATCCACAAACATGCTGAGGGTGCACTCAATCCCAACTATCCAGTCACTGATTGCAGCGGAATTCCTGAGTCACAGCCTGAACCAATATCTGAGCATGTGAGTGCCTGCAGCAGGGGGAGCCTAGATCCACCCTTCCTCTTTTCCACTGCCCCAGCAGTGATTCCAGGAGCACTTGTGTAGTCTGAGTCTGTGCAGGTTTCCCCCAATCCCCTTTCCCTCCTCCTGCTGCCTCATGTGTCAGAGATCAAAGTGAAGAAAACTGCATTCTTCAGCTCACCTTTTTTTCCAAACTGTTGCTGAGAGGGGTGAGTTAATTCCTCATTCTTTGACATTTTGTCCTACAGTGCCTGTATCTCAAATAAAGGCTCTGTCATAGCTTTTGTTTGCTTTATACCAATAAAAATGATGAACACCAGTCCCAAGAAAGACCACTGGGGTAAAGCACTCATCACCAGGCTCAAGCTGGACGTAGAGCCATTGACTCTCCAAACAGCCAAATCCTTACTGACCGAACAGTCCACTCTTAAAACCCATATCTCTCCAATTTAATAACTCATTATGTAATAACACATGCTCTCACCTCCCATGTTTCCAGTTATGAGAAAGGAACCAATCATTATGGAAGACATTCAGGCACGATTTGCCTTTAAATTTCATATTGGCTTCTTCCATCCACCTTCTTGTGCTGCATTTAAAATGTCTTCTTTGGAGTTTTGCTCCCAAACCCTCCTAAATTCTTAGAATAGTCTCAATGGCAAGGAGTCTATATATCAGGAATTTCACCCGATCACCCTGATCCTTCTGGAGTTGACTGTGAGCAGCCTGCTCCTTCAGCAGCCTCACCTGCATCCCATGTGAGCCATGAACTTGCATATGTCTACGTCAGCTGGTGACATAGTCCTCTACTTAGGACTCCTGCTTCACTGCCACAGAGTCCGTGTGTAGTATTAAGCAGCCCAGAATCTGCTCCCCCTGAAGCCTAAGTTATAAACCAGATGACAGTCCCTATCACTGAGGTATGCAAATGCTAGAAATACAAAGAGCAGCAGGTGCTAGGCAGAAGGCCACTTGCAGCTCTAAGCCAGGAAATGTCAAGTGCAATATAGAAAGTCCATCATTGAAATAAAACAAGCTGTACTTCACAGTTTATTTGTGGTGATGGGTATTTACTTCAGTCTAGAGAGCCATCATACTGCTGGGAAGGAAAGGGTAGATTTCTTCTACATTTAGGCTGATGGCAACAGGTCTATTTGTGATTTCTATGCTGATGCTTTTAATGAGCTATGAAATTGTACCACCTGAGCGAACTCATTAACATTCAAAATTATTTCAGCATTTTCCTTTTTTTATGCCGAGAGATCAGTAGAAAAGTCACTGAAACCGGCCGGAGTCATAAACACAGTGCAAGAAATCTATAGATTTGCTATAAAAGTATATTGACATCTAAGAAACTGGAGGTCTTCCAGTTTGACCTGCTCTCAAATCTTACTTGCCAAAGTAAAGGAAATCTATGTTTGACATCATGCTAACAGGACCTGCACTAGTATAAATTTGATTGTGGTATACTGCATTAAATATGTATGTCAAATTATTTAAAAATTAGCTTTAATCTTGAGACAAATCTAGCTGTCATCTGTTACAACCTATTGTTCAAAGCAAGGTTGGACACAGCAGGTTGTTTAGGGCCTTGTTCAATTGGATTTTAAAAATTTCCAAGAAAATTCTACATAACATCTCCAAACAACATGTTCTGGTGTTTGATGATTCTTAAAGGAAAAAAAAACAAACAAACATAGCTTCATAACACATCTGCAAACTGGTTTACTGTCCTTAACATGGCACAATGTCGAACGCATAACAACTCAAAGCAAACAAGGAAGAGAAACTCATTTTAAGGTATTCCATGGAACTGATGAAAGTCTGAATAAGCTAAGTTTATTTTCTTTGAATACTGCATCAGATAATCCTTTTCCCAATGTACACTCTCTCTTCATTGTAGTGCATATTCTTTCTTGTTTATTCCACCACACACAAAATAGTATCCTATTTCCATACATCCAAGCAGGCTCTATAAAACTAAAATATCCTTTCAAAAGAAATTGCAAGCTATCTATCTTTGTGTTCATCTCAGCTGTCTCTTGTTCAGGAATCAGGATGAAAACTGGGTGAAAATATACTTACTATGTGCCTTCTTACCATAATAACAAAATCTGACCTCTCCAACTAAGAAATTATGTGGCACAATTATCTGTAAGGGCATGTAGAAGCAGAGTGCCCATGCCTTTAAGCATATCTGGTCAAGGAGCTTTTCCAGTACAAAAGGGTGTAAGGTAATACGGTAGAGAAGAAGCCACAAGCAAACAAGAACATACAGGAATACCATCCTGGCTGACATGGTAAGGGAAGCAGTGATGAGAACAAACTTTATCAGTATGACGGACAAGGGCATGTACAAGTGTTAGAATGTTTGTTCCAGTAAGGTTATCTGATCCTGTCAGTTAGAAAACTAAAGGAAAAATGGGGAAACCAGAAACAAAGTATACAGAGATACAGACCTAGCAAAGCAAATGTGGAGACAATGACAAGAAAAAAAAACTTGTTAATCATGCAAACTGATGGGCTATCAAGAAACTACAAGCACCACTTAAAGGAAGATCAGCCTGCATTTTCCACTGGTAAGTTGAAAGAATAAAGGCAATTTAAAGGAAGAGAGGATAAAAGGGGCTGACAATGTATGAAACAGAGCTGATCAGTATTCTAGTCAGACCTTTGACTCATCATCACATATCATCATATCTTCTTATTAAATCTTTCCTTGATTTCCTGAAATCTTTCCTGCATAATCTCACCTTCTATGCTGTGTGTGTGTGTGCCACAAGGACTATGTGCCAGGTACCAGTAAGACCTGTATGTGTGCAAGTGACTTCAGGTATAGGTATCAGACTAGGGGAGTAGTCTGGCCTCTGGTGACAACTACTGGACTGAGCAAGGGTCCTAGAATTAGTAGCTGGAGGAGCCATAAGTTGTGGATGTGAAAGAGATCAACAAAACCAGAGTGTCAGCTACTGGGGTCCATATGAGTGGACTGAGTGCTAGCTACTTGAGTCAGACTGGGAGTGTAGGCATCCCTAGCCTGTGGTGCCAGCTACTGCTGTGACTGGGTACATTGACATCAGTTAAAGGAATGAGGAAGGGTTTGAGTAACATTCTCAAGAACTAAGCCTGGAAAAAGGAAAACTTGCCCTGAAAACCCACAAGAATACCACCCCTGTGACCACACTATTTGCAATGCAATATGGCTTTCATTTTTTTTGCAAAAAAAAAATTTGATGTCTAGCGTACCTTGATGACATAAGTTTTTCTACTGTATAAATGACAGAAATTATGTAACTGAATTTTTGAGCAATGTAAGCAGATTCTGTCTTTGTTAAACAATGGCAAAAGAAATGCAATCATGCAAAAAAAAAAATATCTTATTTTGGCTGCTCAAAGATCAAGCCTCTGAATTGCCACACTAACCCAAAATTGTGTCACTTGAGAGAAGCAAGAAAAGTATGGGAGAAATACAAGTCTGTTACAGAATATTCTATCTCAGTCCCCACATTTTTTTCCTCTCTTTTAGCAGTAAAGTATAATAGATTAGACCTAATTTGAGGGAGTACACTATTTTGTACAGTACCTAATAGTAATCACAATTACAGCAATGGTGCACATACTGAGAAAAGGAATTTTAAGTCTGACACATGCTCATTAGGCATAGGTAGCCAATTCAAAGCACATCAGTAACTGATAAGTCTCCTTCCTGAAAATAATTGCCAACTATGCAGATTGCATAAGTTCCCTCTAGCTTTCCTGTTTCCTCTCATTTGCTGATATGTTTGAACAAGCATCAGTACTGTCTTCAAACCACCAGCTGTACTGGCACTTAGCATAATCTGGAATTTAAGTTACTAATTCTAGCTAGTAAATTATGTATCTCAAATATAGCTTTGAAGTCAGTGCATAGCGAGGCACTGGGTATGAGGACAGTTTCTATACAAAAATAAAGCTAAAATCTTTTGGTTTTGCAAATTTTCACTTGAATACAAAAGTTTGTAAAAACTGTCACTATAAATGAACTAGAATGAATACTGACACCAAAATGCTTTGAATGAAATGAAATATTTCAGCATAACTGGACACACAAGTTTTCTAAAAAGCAAAGCCGAAAGATGAAATTTGATATGATACAGAGATGAGATCATCTTAAAAAATATTAAGCCTATGTGAAAACATTCTGCAGTAAAACTAACTGAATAAGAAAATTTTACCTCAAGTAAGACACATGAGAGAAGAGCATGCTCTTTTACAAAGGTGTTAAAAGAAAATGGAAGAAAAATTTGACAACATGTAACAGTAATTGACAATAGCAACTTTTGTTTCCCATAATCACACCAAATCTCTTTTCATTTATTTAACACTCCTTAGTCCAAAAAAAAAAAAAAAAAAAAAATGTTCTTCCTCTTTCAATGTTCCTTTTATTAAGCCCAACTACTTCTTGTACTGGTTACCATTACCTTTCTGGATTTTACTTGCACTTATCTCTCTCCCCTTGCCAGCAAGAGGAAGACATAGTTTAAGTATCAACATTCATCAGCACAAAGATAATCACTGGTAATCAGAATGTACATTCAATAAGAGCTGAAACTACAATTGTGCAGTGATTTGGTAAGATAAAGATTCTGCCATTTGATTTAATTAAGTAGTAAACAAGAGAACAGAATACGAACTATTGGAAAAGATACTTCAGTTGATCAGCTGATATTTTGTGACTATGAGACCCTTAAAAAAAAACAACAACAAAATAAAGCAAGACAACAAAAAAAGCTTTGCTTCTTAGTTAAAGATCAGTACAAACTTCAGAAGAAATAAAAGAACAAATCAAAGTGACAACAGCATGAGTTTCTGTTAGTTTCATGAAGGACGTATGCCATAGACTACTGGTTAAGAATGAAATTCAATGTAACAAATGTAACTAAAAACTATATGATGTGCTATTTTACACAGCGTGGGAAACAGTGTGCACAGCTAGCATATTTATGAATCAAACATGAACCATGCTTCAACTGTAGGACCTGCAGTTCTCAGCTGGAATCAGAGATCAAATATTCATCTAAGATAAAGAAAAAAATATGCATCTTTATCTCAAATGGAAAACCTTCTATAAAGTTATAAATTTAAACAGGCATCCAATTTGCGCAAGTTCCGTTGACAGCTAAAGATAACAACAGAAGGGAAAAGGACAAGACATCAGAGACAGTTAGGAAGCCAGATACGTAGTGAATTTTAAATACAGCCATTGTTCCAAGAAGTCTGTTAACAATTCCATGATAAACCAATGAAGATTAGTCCCTACCTGCCTTAATGCTGTCTGTAAGGATTTGTTACATAGCCAAAGGCAAGCTTGAAGAAGCATGGAAGGCTTAACGAATTCGTTTTTATGTTTCATTATGTTCATAGTGTTCCTCATTATGTCTCTTAGCAAATAAAATCACTAGGAATGCAATTTTATGGCAAATCAGCTAAGATTTCAGTACATATCATAGTTACAGCTCCCTTCTTCAAGCTCTTATTCATGTGTTTGGATACTTACATATGCTGCTTATAGTTTCTTCTGTTCTTTTTGTCAAAAACACTCCTTAATTTTACAACTACACAAATTAGGAAAACCTATCTAAACATATGTTATTAAAACCTTTTTTATTGAGGTGTTAAAAAATGAAAGAATGACATCTTTTGAAAAGTTCTGTTGTTGGTTTAACTTTGTGTTATTCGCAGTGAAGTTAACCTATGCCATCTTTGGTAACAGCAAGTAAACCAGCACTGAGTGCTTCTTAAACAGTGATCAGACAAGATTATGTAATCTGCATGCAAATACGTGCATGCACATACATACTACAATGACATGGCAAAAATGCAGAGCAAGAACTCAGAAAGGTATATGGCTGTGATGACATCCCAGCACTGAACAGCTACAAACCACAAGAGCCCTACGGCATCATTTTTGTCAAAAGCAAACTCGAAATTGTAATGAAAGAGTTTTGTAACCAAGCAAGGATATAACTGAAGCTTACCTTCAAGCTAAATGTAGCAGCTTTGTTGATCATTAGGTCCTGTACATCTTGAAATGTGCACTACAAAACACACATACATACATATAGGAGAAGGTTTGGATTTAAGTCCTACAAACAATCTTTATAAAAGGTTTGTTTAATCACAGAGCTACAGTATTACAAGCATATTATTATCACACAAATAACTACTTGCAGCATATTTTCAAGAACTCAGAACATAAGTCTCGTCTTTGAACAAAAACTTACTAATGCATTCACTAAGCAATTTCAGACTCGTAATACTCCCTTACATTGTAAAAAGGCATTAGTGAAGTTTGTTTACAAATTTTTAAAAGCAGATGGACAATCTCTCTTAAATGTTTAACAGCTTCATAAACGTATGCTAGCTTTTCTTTCACCTCTGTCCTTTCACAGTTTGGGCTTTCATGCTGTTGTTTTTGTGAAAGGAAAAAAGTACCAAAAAGACACAAATATTCAGTTCAGCTTCATTAAACTTAACAGAATTCTATTAAGTACTCAGGATAGATTTGGTTGGCGTCAAAGATAACAAATATCTTTGGATTCCAAGTATTATCCACACAGCTGTCATACAAGTTCACAAAACTTCCATCTCTTGAAGGAGGCCTCATGTATTTTGAATCACCATTGATATAGTCGCCAGTTAATACACGAGCAAGAAACATGACTTTATCTGGTTTGTGCAGATGAGGCTGCAGATTCACACCATGAATTTGGAAAGTATCTCCATGCTTCATATCCTCTTTGCAGAAACGACTGGAATATGATGCATCTCTTGCAAAGTAGGTCCCTTTCAAATAAAAAGCAAATTCTTATTATATTCTTATCACGGTAGGTTAACTTCTAACGAACAAGTAGGTACCAGGATGATGAAAAAGTCTGTTCTTTCCTATTTGTTAGCAATCCAATGACTTTTTCTGACATCATGATAATCCAATCCTATGTTGGCCAACAATGTCAGAGGTATGAATCTATGCTGATGGTATGACATTAGAAGTTGAAAATTCTCACCAATATTCTGTTAAATTCTACTGTCACGTGACAAATGGATGCAGAGCGCAGTCTGACAAAATGGTGACTGACAAGGAAGTGTGTTATGAAGCAAAGGTGTGTCATTGAATTCCTCCATGTAGAAAAAACCTTGCACCCACTGACACTGTTTGCATCTTACTGAATATTTATGGAGACCAAACAGTGGATGTTAACAAAGCGAAGCAGTGAGTGGTGCATTCCAGCAGTGGTGGCAGCAAAGTTTAAGACAGGCCAAGTTGCAAATGGCCCTGGACAACATGTGCAAGTTTGTCAGGACCTATGGAATGACGCTGAAGGTGACAGTTTCCTGGATCACATCATTATTGGTGTCATGAGACATGGTGTCACCAATGTGCGCTGGAGTCATAACAGCATACATGGAGTGATGACACGTGAATTCCCCATTGAAGAAAAAGTTCAAGAAACTGCCCTCAGTAAGTAAAGTGATACGGACTGTCTTTTGGAATAGGGAAGGGGGGATCTTTCTGAATTTCCTAGAACCCAGACAAACCATCAACTCTGACCACTACATTGCGATGCTAAGTTGAAGACTCAAACTCCCAGAGTCAGGCCAGAGAAGAGGACAAACTTTCTCTTGCAACACGGTAACACCAGGCCCTGTACTAGTTTGAAGACCTTGCTGCACATTGCCAGTCTTGGCTGGACTGTCCTACCATACCCATCATATAATCCAGATTTGGCACCTTCCTACTTCCATCTGTTCGGGCCAATGAAAGATGGATTGCATGGGCAGCATTTTTCCTATCAACAACATTATCACAGCAGCTGTGAAATAGTAGGTCACCTCTACTGGTATCAATTTTTATGAGTGCAGTATGGAGGCTCTTGTTCATGGCTGGTGACTAATGTTGAAAAATAGTGCTTTGTAGTGAAGAATGTGCTCTATCAAACTGTGTTATTGTGCTCTTTGGATCCGTTGTAGTTTCTATGGAAATAAATAGGAAGCATTACTTTCAGAGCAACCTACAGAACATGAGCAAGTATTTTGCGTGAACATTTTAGCAGGGAGACTTTCCTTGTGAACTACACTGCTTTGCAGTTCACCCTTCATCCACCCCACTCCCAAGTCCTACCCGACAGTTACACTGATTACATTATTCACTGTATTCTTACTTTCTTCATTTATCTCTATCTTAATTTACATCTTTTACTTGATGTAAAAGCAGAGCGATATTAAATGTCTCTGTAAAAACACAGGAGTACACCACAAAGAACATCCTATAAGGGACACTTAATGTTGAACAGTTCAGACTGCCAAACTGCAATATGTGAAAAAATATTTACCTTTTCCATATACAGCAGCATGCATCCCATTTATTCTCCAGTCAAAGTTATGAATACATATTGCTTCTACAAATTCATTACTGGTGCCATGAAATAACATCTGCTCATTAATAGTTGTCACACCTCTCTTCTTCTTCAGCTGGGCTTTCTTCCTGCAGAGAACATGCAACGCAATATTATAAGCATTTGTACAAAAACAATTAAGTTCCTACTCTGAAAACACTGCAGAGAGGTGACAGACTTAAAACTTCATAAATTTCACCTTTGCAAGTGTCTATATGATTTCATATTTTAAAAGAGATTAGAATTCTTAAGGTACATGTTTAGAAATCATATCTGGATGTTGTAGGCTATTTTCATAAGTAATCTAAGGTTAGGATAAAAGGTCCTATAAAAAAATTTTATCAATTCTATTTATGTGATACAGTCATTTTCTGCACATACACTCTGGAAAAAAAAAAGTGTTGTTTTTGTTCTCTTCAACTGCATAAACTGCATGGCTAGAGGGATAACAATCTTAGTGGATTATAATTATCCCAGTAAAATAACAAAACCATTAAAAATAAAAGTATCTAAATGTTTAGGCAAAATTACCAACATGACCATGGTTTTCTGAATTTGTGGTTCTCATACTTCCTAGAAGATCCAAGTCTTATGCTATACCATTAAAGAATTTTGGAGAGAAGGGGGGGAAAAAAAACAAGACAACAGACGAGCCTATATTACAATCTTATGAGCAGAAGGCTCTATGCATTAAAACCACAGTGTAGCTGCAGGAAAAAAAAAAAAAAAAAAGCAGGTTTATCAAACTAAGCAATCTGATTATAACTGTAGCGCAGATATGAACTGGGGAGGCATTCTCAGGGCCTACAGCTTAGATACATCAATCTCCTATCAACCAAGTCCAGAGAAAGAGAGAGGTGGCAAAGATTTGTCACCATATTAAAGGCATTATATTGCAATTATTTATGATTTATTAATAAATACATTTCAAAGGAATTGACATCTTGCACTACTTTGCTTAAAAATATGTTTAAATTGTCTTATTTTTAAGCTTTCATATTTTTATTTAGTATGAATTAACTAGCTAAAAAGTGTCTTTACAACTTTTTAAAAATTATTATTATTTTAGAACTGTTTTCCAAATCCAAAGAACATCAGTATAAAGTCAAAAGCTTTCACAAATTATCTAATTTGTGGCATTTTATGTCAGAGGCAGAGAGGTCCCAGTCACTCAAGTTCCACTCTGTAAACATACTGACAAAATGAAGGAGTCAAGATTCCTTTTATCTTATGAAAAACACCTATGTGAAGCAAAACTTCCGAGCTAAGGGCTACCATTGATGAATATTTGAATATTTTTCAGTCAGTCTCCCTCTGCTGCTGGCTGGTGTTTCTAACAAAGTAAAAAGTCAGCTTCAACTTCTGATTAAATAGAACGCATTTGTTCCAAGAAAAATGTGAATAATCGATTGTCCAAAAACATTTTCTAACAGTCCTTCACATCTCCAACCAATTGATTTCATAATTTAAAATCTGATAATACAGTAACTGTTCAGACAAATATGTTCTGATGATATTGCAAACAACCATTTAAGCAATGCTCATATTTAAACACGGCCCTTATCAGTGAAAGAAAAAACACTTTTTCAAAACACAAACGTAAATAGCAAATCTTTCTCATAGTAGAATATCCGGAGGGTACTGGAAAAACTGGTTCTACAGAGTGCAGAAATGCCACAGCCATTTTTTTTTTTTTTTTTTGTTGATTTGAAACAGAACTCAGTTCTATCTCTAAGAGTTCAGCCACTCTAAAAATCATCTTCTTAGCACTTTTCACCAGCAGAGAAAAACTAATCCAGCAAAACAAAATTAAGCTGATCCACCACCCAAGCAGGCTCTCATACAGCCAGTCCACTCAATAAAGGAGAAACCTAAAGCAAAATTAAATACCTAGTAACATGCTGCTTGTATACATGCCAGCACACAGGCTGTTTCTACACGAGGGCAACAATCTCATGACCGAACATCCTTTGCTACTTGCTCTGCTCCTCTGCAATTCCAAACCGAGATGCATAAATCTACATATGCTAGATCAAGAGTAATCCTTTGTTATTTTTGCAATCCCTCATGAGACACCAGAAGAATTTTTAGTGAATTTCAAATGCTGTAATGCCCGCTTTTCTGTAACATAATACACACCAGTGTGCGTAAGCCCATATAGCCCAAATGGCAGAACACTAACGTATAAAAAGCTGTATTTTACCTCTCAAATGGAGGGACAAGAAAGGCACTTAGACCTCAATTGCATATACATATTTTAGCAACCTTTATTATGCTTTATGAAGTATTTTTGCCATAAAGGAAAAATGTTTTAAAATGCATTTTTCTCCATATACTTTTATAAAGGTAAAAGTACTAAAAAGTATCTTGATTCATAGTTCTATAGCAACACACCTGATGTGTAAAAACTCTTAATGTAATACTCCTCACATATGAAATTCAAATTCTCATTGTCAGTTTTGTACTTTAAAAACATCTTAGCATAGCACCCATACCTTCCAAGTTCTTAAGCCATGAATTTGTCTCACTCAGTGATTAGCCTGGTAAATGTTCTTCAAATTAAATCTGTTCCTTATGTAAGCAAACAAGTTCTCTCCCCACCTCCCCATCCCTGCCCCTATCAACTACACTGGAGACACAGAGGACATTTAAAGTCTGCTTGCTATTTCTTTTCTCAAAAACTGATGTATTGAAATGGTATAAATATATCTACAGAAACTTATTTATAGAAAGGTGACTGTTAAATCACAAGGCCAAGCAAATAAGCCTTAATAATTAAAACTTGATACTAGGAAAGAAGTAGAAAGGGAATTCACTACTTCTAGTTCTTCCAGGCCACCACAACTTAAATTTGAAGAAATGACATGTATTCATGCTAACTGGACATAACTCTGCCCTGTGTTTCATGAAGTTGAGAAATTAGACAAATCACAAATATTCTAATGGCCACTACAAATTCAACACATAAAAGCCAGTAAAGAAAAAAAAAAAACTTACTTTTTTTCTCCTTACTTTATTATGAGAAAGTGTGGGTCTCTACCATGTGGATATTCTGAACACTCATCACATTTGAACACAGTAAACTTAGACTTGGAGGAGTTACAAAAAAAAAACAAAACAACAAACTAGTGCCATCCTTGTCAACCCAGCCAAATTATATTGATAGGTTAATAAGTCTACCTGCTGCTATTTTCTCATACTCTTTACCACTTGACCAACAAGTTACTGCTTAAATGCTTGCTATCCTTAAAATCAGTCATGAAACTAAAAAACCTCAGCATCTCATTATTAGGAGAAGCTGACATTTCTACATAGATAGTAATACCTTTGCCTTTTACAATGAAATAAAGATCATATCGAACTGTTTACAAAAATACTAGAAATGTCTTTCTCAATATTTTCCAAGAAATTAAAGTTACTTAAAGAGAATGAATACAGTACCAAATGCAGCACAATCATCATTATTTTTTTGAATCTTGGAATAATTAATTTTAATAGGGCTAGAAAGTCAGAGCTTGATTCCCTATGCTAAGGTTATGATTAATTTCAGTCCCACCCCAGAAGCCCTGAAGTTAACAACTGTGTACTTCATGCTTGTGATAGTAAAGACATCCTAGAAAAAAGGAAAAAAGCTTCTCAAATGACCTGGAGCACTATGCCCAAGCCACCTGAGGAAAAAGAACTGCCAATTGTGCAGCTATGTGCGTAACAGAGGAAACAGCCGTTCTCCCTCCTGCTCACATGCTGCCTTCAAGAACTGGAAGGCCTCCAAGAACAAGGCCTTCAAGTACTGGAAGTCTCCCCAGAGCCTTCTCTTTTCCAAACTAAACAAGTTGGAAGCCCAGTTCCCTCAACCTTTTACTCATAGGAGAGGTGCTCCAGCCCTCCAATCTTAGCGGTCCTCCTCTGGACCCACTCCAAGAGCTCCACATAATTCCTATACTGGGGGCTCCAGGCCTGGACACAGTACTCCAGATGGGGCCTCACAAGAGCTGAGTAGAGAGGATCAATCCCCTTCCTCTCCCTGCTGGCCACCCCTTTTTTAATGCAGCCCAGAACCACAGCTGGCCTTCCGGGCTGCAAGCGCACACTGCTGGCTCATGTCCAGCTTCTTGTCCACCAGGACCCTCAAGTCCTTCTCCACAGGGCTGCTCTCAAGGAGATCTTCCCCCAGAATTTCAACATATTGCAGTGCATCACTTTCATCTTTGCTACATATATATATGTAATACTTATATAACTGCATTATAGTTCTGCCCTTGTAGAAGTCAGTCTTCAAAGTTGTTTTCAAGACTGTCAGAGATTGATAAATAAGCAAATAAAGAAAAATAATAAAACTAACACATTTTAATTATATAATAACAAAAGCAACACATTTTAATTATAAAACAATAAAAGTAATTAAGCATTTTTTTACTGAATGCCTTGCTCTGTTAACAATCCTAAAACTGTTGGTTATAAAAATAATCTCACCTGCAAAAAAACTCCCACAAGTCTAGATTTTGTATTCTCTTTATTCTTTTTATTCGGTGGCTATCCATTGTTTTTCCAAAGAGATTAGAAACTTCATTGTATTCATTTGTTTTCTTTTGCAAAGGAATAAGCTGGAAAAAAAAGAAGTTAGCACAATTACAACATGATGTACTATTTCATTATGTGTTTTCCAACTTGCACCGACTCTTACCTGATACGGCTCCTCAGGATTTACGTTCTCCCAGTGTGAAGGCATAGGGATGGACTCATTTTCACAGATGAAACTTCAAATAAAAAAATGGTAAGAGCACATCACAACAAGGACAAAAAGCATTTTCCTATGAACTCTTTCTCCAAACAACAGAGTATGCACCCCCACCCCTCCTCAAAAACCCCAACCACTTAACACAAAACTACTTAGTGTTTAATACTGAAAAAGCCTGTTGTCAGCAGCTAAGGTCAAAGGTAAAGATCTTACTTTGTGTTCAAATTATGGCTTAGTTTATTACAAACAAACAGTGGTAATATGTTATTACATCATCTGTCCAACAAGAGATACAAAGTTAAATTAAAAGGAATAGTCAGAGATATCTGCAACATCAGGAGAGCAACACTAATCTAGAAACATGAGTGCAGATATAGCCTGAACATTTCTATGTGTCAAGAATTAAAACTACTCTAAGACTCTGAAAACTGGGCCTTCACTGGGCCAGTAATCTGAAGTCACTGTGTTAGATATATATATTAGAAAATTACATTAGATTAGAAAAGAAAAAAAGGTATTTTAAGCATGTACATAGCAACTTTAGGCCTGAAAACAGACAGTAAATGTAGCAATCTTAAAGTGTAGTGTCAGCATGTGAAAAGAAAGTATGCTGATTGAATCAGAAGTATTAAAGGAAATTCTTCAATAAGCATAAAAAGTTGAATTGCAAGATTACTGCATGTACACTTCAGGAAACACACAGTGAAAAACAGCTGACACTTCAAAAAACAAACAAACAACAACAGCAAAAAAAATCCCAGCCCATCCTAAATGCCAATGTAAAGTGATTGCTACTACATTTCTTATTACAAATGTCAAAGTTCTTTTAAAAAATACAACCAGATAATAATTCAAAACTGAGATTTTGTTTAAAAAATATTTAGAAAAAAGTAACCCACAATAGAGGTGGTCAATTTTATCTGTAGCACTATCACTGAGTATGCTAGCTTTTATTGACTATCAGATTACATCAGAAGAGCATTACATCATCACAATGTTCCTTCTAACTAATTTAGGAAGTCATTGTTACACTGGAACAAACTACTCCATTTCTTTCTGCTGCTGTTCCTCCAATTCTCCAACCAGCAATTCTGATTTTACAGGTTAGTTACTGCAAGGGAATCCAACAGTTGAAGTCAGGTACAAATTTAAGCAGCTTGCAGAATGATATCAGTATTCAGTATGTCTTGCCTCTCCCACTACAAAATCCTTATTTTCTCAATAAATAAAGAAATAAATAAATGAAACCTTTTGTTATTCTCCCTCTAAAATTTCTTCCTTTTTACTTGACTTGCTTTCTCACATTTTCAAATTGTTTGACAAAGAAAGTAAATAAATATAGACAGTCCACATAAAACATATTTTTGTTTCATTTTCCTTTGAAAACTCAGAATTAAAATCAAAATCAGGATTAAAATCAAAATCAGGCGGCTTCATTTTATTTCCTTACCTGAAAGCACTGATAGAAAAGGGAGCTCGCTTTATTGGACGTTGTTTAAGGGTAGTTAGGTTGGTTTGTTTCATCTCTGAGCATAAAACAAGAGTTAGGATAAATGTTTCTGGACTTCATCTATAGCATATGGACATTTAAGAGTCTGGTTTTTTTTTTTTTTTTTTTTTTTCAAACAACGTTACTACATCAAAAGCTGCTTGAAAGGAATTCATATTTCAACAATTAGTAAATCAACATCGTAGATAAAAAAAACTCAAAATACTGGCCTCAGTATTAAGTGTTATTTATAAGAGTTGACAAAAATTGCAAATACTACACAAAGCAAATGAAGTGGTATATCTGACATCTTTGTTATTTAAGTTAACCCTATGAATATACATACCTGAAAAGTCTAGTGTGTAGTTAAATTTTGCAGTAGTAAAAGAAACAGAACCATATGGGTTTGTTCTGAAGCTCCTTTCAATATCTTCACTGCTAACTGAGCAATGACTATTTGAATCAGTCTTCAAAATAAACGAAAAAGTACATTTAGATGTTTTCAGCAATAAGTTGTTTGACATACAAAAGTCACAAGTAATATAACTCCGTAGTTACCTGAAACATATGCCATTTACCACACTCAGCCAAATAAAACCAGCCCCACTGAGTATCAGAGGTATCCATCTCTTCAACTGAACTTTCCATCTTCGGAAAAAGGTCTTCAGATGTTCTTTGAAACATTTCCTGAAATATTCACACGCATATAAAGTTTTTTGTGATACTCTTTGTGAAAGTACATTATTTGAGAAATTCATTAAAGAATAAAAAAGAATAATAATAAAAAAGTGAATTTACAACTCTTAAATAAAAAAAAAAAAACATGGTTTGGGTACTTTCTCTTTTACAGAGGAAATGTCTCTATTTTCTACTTATTCAGTATTATCCCTTATGTTAGTTAAACATTTTTAAAGCTAACTCTTTCTCATATGTCCATAAGCATGCCCAGCCAGAAGAGAGCTATATGCTTGAACATATCAAAGAAAGGTACTACATTTTATACTGATAACCCTATGACAAGCTATTCTTATAATGCAACAGGGTCAAAGGTACTACTTAGGAATAAGGTGTTGGGGTTACATGATAACTTGACAAAAACATCTACTAGATACTCACCAGGCATAAATAGATCATACCGGATGTTGAGATGTTACAAAAAAAATAAGACACTAGAGTCCATGGTGCACTGCTCCTCAACACTGCTTAACTTAAAAAAGATACAACAAAATTACCTGGCACTCTGTTCTGGTACAGTGGTTCACACTGGAAAAAAACAAAGGCTTTCACACACACTATTACCACCATAGTGAGGGTTCTTCAGGATGAGGGGAAAAAAGGACAGGGGAAGAGTCACAACAGGTCTATAAAATTATGGCAAAACTGAGTAGAGAATAACTGATGACATTTTCTTTCTACATGAAAAACATACATCAAATTTTGCATGTGTTAAGTTCACAACAATCTAAAGAGAAACTTCTTCATAACAGAGATGGCAAACTACGATATTTCTTTCCACAGCATGCTGTGGATATTGCAAGTTTATGTGAGTTTAAAAAGTAGCTAGGCAAGTTCATGCCCACCAACAGCTATGCCAGTATACCTTTAGAATAATCCTAGTCAGTTCCCTTCCTCGTTCAACAATAAAATCCTGAAAACCCTGAAAGTACTTGACTTTAATTACATATATATCTTAACATACCAGCTCCATGCTTGAACCCCCCAAACATCAAATATGAAGCACTGGGGGAACTTTCAGAGGAAGAAGTATGACCTCCTCCCAGAAAGTACTAGCAAATCATCTGGACAAACTGCTTAACCATGACTGGCACTCCTCCCAACAGTTTCCTCAACTTAACTTTCTCTTTCAAGAAGTAGAGCAATGCACTCTAGTATAAATAAGTTAAATAAAGTACAGTTAATATCCTGAATGCTTTAGTTCTTTCCTGAACACTTAACCCAGAAAAAGGTACAGAGCAACCTGAAGAATGCATACTACAATCTACAAGTAGGCACCAACTGGCCAGTTCTACTGAGGCAGGAGTTCAGTGCAGAAAACTGCTAGCACCACCCTGCCTTATTTGCTCTCTGTAGTTGTTGCAGAAACAATCCTAGAAGCCTCCTCATGGACACAGCTCTGCATCTCAAATGAGGAATGATTGTTCATCATCATAAGCTTCAAAGGACTATAAAAACATAAACAGATACCAGGGGAATCAGAGACAGATCTTCTCACAACATCTCTAATATGCAGAATTTGTGAGCAAATCTACTTAAGAACAAAAGGAAGCATGCAAATCTACCTATATGAACAGCTACCTCAAGCTTAAGCAAAATATACTAAAGGTACATCAGCTATGTGGCAAAAATACTTTGTAACAGTAAGAAAACCATGCTCTGTTCCATTCTTCACAACAATACAAAGCCATAGAGCCTACATTCACTTGGTATTAAAGCACAATTGGCCAAGATCTTTTGATGATCAACTTCCACCTTCAACTTGATTCTTCTGATTACATGAATATTTGGCCCTGTTCTCTTCTACAGGCTGATGTACTGTAGTGTACACACATTTTTACAGCTAAGAGGAACACAATTTAGACTTTTTGGGTAAACTTTGGTTTCCTCATATTTCTACCAAAACTGTCAGATCGCAGCTACATGCCAACATTAGTTCAGGGCCTTGAATTTAATCATTCAAATCAGTACTGGCTTTCAAAAAAGTTATGAACACTGAAGATATATTCATCTAGACAATTTTATGCATCTGGAAGGAACACAGCTTCCAGAATAAACTACTATGAAAGACATAAGTACTCCCACAATTTTAAAAATTCAGACCATAGGCACTACCTTTAGACACGAAGTACAGGGTAAACAAGTAGATTCCAGATACTTACTAAGTAAGGAAGAATGAACCAAATCTATGAACACAACAGAATGCTGTTCTCAAAAAAGATATAAATGCAAAATGCTTGAAGAAAATTACTCAGCTTATCGATGAATTTAACCACCATGTACACACGATTTATAAGGCACGTGTAACTTTTTGTCCAAAAGCTATGAACACATGCATTGTGAGCAGAAATATGTCACCAGACTTTCTGGATGACAGGATGTCAAGTATCAAAGATGCAGCAATGAGAATTTTATTAGCAATGCTATTTCTAACAAAAGTCAATTCCCATTAATATCAACTTTAAAAATGGCCCCAGGTATGCCATAAACATCCTAAAGGCAACACTACTACTTTTGACAACAAAATTCTCCTTCTAAAGAGAACTCACTTGTGTGTTGTGCTACAACTAGTGTGGCTTTATTATTACTGCTAACCCAATTTACCTATTAGTTCTTTTAAGCTTGAATAAGCATGTTTTATGGCGCATCTAGATGGGCTGCTTTCTATTGGTGTCCTTTTGGCAGATTATACTTTATTGTTGAAAGCTGCTTTGCCTACAGACATTATCTAATGCCCTGATGTGAACACATGCACCATGGCCTGTGGCCTCTCAGGAAACATGGTACGTGATCGGGTGACTTATAATTTTAAATAAGAGTTCAGGGCTGGGAAGTGGAAGTGAGGAGGAAGAACTGCATTAGCACAAGTACAGGGAACACCACGTGATAACCTCCGGAGCTCTATCACCATTTCTCCCGTTACAGTACAGAGAGGCACTACTGAAAGGGAGTGCATTAACCCACACACGGCACCACTATCTCCCCATTTGTCTCCCGTGTTCTCCCGAAAAATGGAGAAGATGGCGGCCTATACCACCATCCCCTCTTCCCCGACGTTGCAACGCTGTCGCTCCCCACGCCTGCGGCGGGTATGATGGAGTGAGGCAGGGCCGGCCAGGAAACGGCAGCGCGTAGCGAGGAGGCGGGTGAGGAACATATGGAAAGGAGCGGCCATTTCCCACGTCCCCCTCCCGCACGCACTCACCGCATCTGCCGCCCACCCCGAGCTCGCTCCCCACATGTTGGCCGGAGAGTGGGGAGGAGTGTATGTGTTGGGGGAGGAGGCGGGGAAGAAGGAAGCAGGCCAAGCGTAGCAGTGCAGGTCACGTCACTGCTTACACTCCAGACGCTTCCGTTACCGAAGGCAGAAGAAAAGGGAGGGGCAACAGTTGTTACTGGCAACGCTATATCGGATCGTCACAGAGAGGCGAGGCCTGGTATGCAAATTTTTAGCGGAGTAAGCGGGATTGAAGTAATAGGCAAGGGAGCGGTTGTGTTTGATTTTGTATCGTGCCACAAAGAGACAGGGCAGTGAGTGGCGCTGTGTGAAACTGTGGCTTTGCAAGCGGCTGTATGGGCTGGTCTCCCTGGAGCAGCTGTGTGACACTGGTTTGTCAGTTGTAGGTTGTTTGGCGGTCTTTTAACTACCTTCTGATGTTTTCTTTAAATTATTGCCTGTATTTGTGGATAGGAAAGGGGCTTCCTCTCTGCAAAGGATTTTTCACAGCCCATAATTTTCCTTATGAGCCTTTATATATATTCTTCGCACGTAGCATTTTAATGGACTCATACTGTGTCACCATCAGGTAAGGCAGTAAAAATGGCAGCTCTAAGAACATTATCTAATGAAAATAACAATAAAAGCTGCAGCTTATTGCATTATCCATCAAGTGGACCTTCGGAATTTGAAAAATGGACACTCTGTGGGCAGCTTTACCCTATAATCAAGTTCTAGAAGTGGCAGCAGCTCTAGGAAAGACTTCTGGTAAGAGGACATACTCATACATGTGCCTTACCCCTTCAAGGGGTCCTTCAAGGGAAAGCTCTAGGATGAGAGCTGCTGAGTGGAAGAGCTGTCACTGACCAATCCATAGATGTATGCTGCAGTCTTTGGAAACTGTGCTGGAAGCTTCCAGATAGGCCACTGTGTCATCTGAAATCTGGGAAGAAAACTCTCCAATTCCACTATGGTGTTAGAAAGGAGCATTCCTTTATTCCTCACAATACAGTAACATACCAGGTGACTTGACAAGAAAGTGCACCCTCTCAGAGTTCAGTTTCTACATTTGAGCAGCTAATACATGCTATGCAGTACATTGGCATACATATTCATTCTTTTTCAAGAACTCATAAATATGTGCTAATATCCCTTTGGGCATGCTCAGTGGTATCTAGGGTAGTTTAGTTTACCTGCTTCTTCCCCTCTTTTCACCATCAGCTTAATCACTGAAGCCTTTGGCTCACTTCCATCCACTTTTCCCCAGTTTGGAAGATTTTCATTGCTTATTAGGCCATAGTGAGCCACTTTTTAAAAAATCAGTGTATGTGGAACACAGTGAAAATGTCCTTTGCACATTCTGAAGCAAAAGATAGAAGTATTCTATTGTGACTCCAGTACTTCTTGTGAGGCAAAATCATAGAGGCAGAAGATAAAAGTAATCTGTTATGTCCCCAGTGCAAAATTATTGAGGGAAAACAAGACTGTTCACCCACTAAAGCTGACACGGAAAGTTAGAACTATCACTTATGAATTCCTTTTGCTAAACTAATATATTGGTTCTTAAACTAATGTATTAATCCCTATTGCTAAAAAAAAAAAAAACAACAACCTATATCAAATGTTGTAATATTGTGCAATGTTTGTAAAGTATGTCCTGCTGTGAAGGATTTTCATTGAGCAACTGTTGGAGATTAACCTCAGTATTCAGCCAAGAACCACACAGCTTCTTGCTAACTTCTCTGCAATGTGATGTGGAAGAGAAAGGGAAGAGTATATGCGTGAGAACTTGTAGGTTGAGATAAAATGTCTAAAATGTATGAAAGAGTTTGATGGTTAAAGCAAAAGCTGTGTTCACAAAGCAAAGCAAGATGAGGAATTCATTTACTACTTTTCACTGGCAGGCAGATGTTTCCAGCACAGCAGCGCACACCATGCATATCAGTTTCTTGGGAAGATAATGTCCTCGTCTTACATCTCCCTGCAGCCCCATTCCTCTTTCTTTCATCTAGCTTTAACAGCTGAATATGGTGTTTTACAGTATGTAAATTCCCCTTGCCAGTTTGGATCACCTATACTGGCTATTTTCCCTCCCAGCTTCTCATGCACCCCCAGCCGTCATGCTGGAAGGATGGTGAGAGAAACAGAAAAGACCTTGGTGCTGTGTAAGTGCTTAAGTGCTGTTAAGAAACAACTGAAACATTAATGTATTATGACCACTCTTCTGATCACAAATCTAAAGCATAGCACCATACAAGCTTTGCTGAAGAACATTAACTCTATCTCAGCCCAAACTGGTACAATGGAAAGACAAAAACAGCAAAGGATGGATTTAATATCATAAAATCGTAGAATCATTAAGGTTGGAAAGGACCTCTGAAATCACCTAGTCCAACTGTTCACCTATCACCAATATTTCCCACTAATCCATGTCCCTCAATACCACATCTACATGTTTCTTAGACACCTGCAGTGACAGTGACTCCATCACCTCTGTGGGAAGCACGGTGCCTGACTACTTATTCTAAGAAGAATTTTTCCTGATGATGAATTTCTTATATTCTAAGGGAGTGTCGGGCAGATAAGTGTCAAGATTCTGGCTGACCTCACCTTTGAGATAAAAAGTTATTTTTTCTGAGTTAAAAGATTGAACAGCACCTCGTGAATCACTGAGGGTATTTCACTACGATGAATGCGAGGCTTCAAGAATGGAGCAATTTTCCAAGGATTATCACCTTACCTGTTGCAAAATACATTTTTTTTCTTTTTTTCTTTTCTTTTCTTTTTTTTTTTTTTTTTTTTTTTTTTTTTTTTTTGCTTTTTGTGTAAAATATAAATCTTTTCTAGGTATAGACCTAGATCTTTCCTAGGCTGAGAGAGTCACGTACCATTAAGCATAGTATATCATAATGACATCAAGGTCTAAGACAAATAGCTGAAACACAATGAGACAAAGTCAGAGAATTAGATAATGTCAAGAGCAGAAAGCTGCCAACACCAGTGTAGTTTTTGAGGTGTGATGCAAATGACGAATGAGGCTGCTCCCTCGACATTTAGTGACTAAAGTTTGCTCCTCACTCTACTCTGCTTGTGTTTATAGAATAGTTTTTCTGTGCCCTGGTGTACATACCATGTCTGCACTGAACTCTGTCAATCTAAAATTTCAATAGAAAGGTTAATTCTACATTTGGGGAAAAGAGGCTTTCCAACAGGTTGGTGCACTCCTTTCCTACCATTCATTGCAGCACCCTAAGAAAAGAATGCAGGTATTATCAACCTTGCTCAATGCCAGGAGAGGGTATTTCTGTTCAACTCAACCCTAGTGAATAACATTCATGTGGGAAATGGCTTCTTTGTGTAGGCTCTCTTATCTCTGCTCCCAGTTTTAGGCAAAGACTTTTCTGAAGAAAAAAATCTTGTGTCTAATTATATTGTGCAGCAGAAGCTACTGTGGGCAGTTTCTTCTCTGCTTGGGTAATGGAGTGAGCAAGATTGAAGTGATCACAGAAAATCCTACTTTGCAAACTGTGGCACTGGGTTGTCTGGGAACTCTGAAGAGCAGAGCCACCCATAGGAAAAAGCAAAATTAATTCCCATGTCTCTGCATTATATATCCTCATGGTTCTCGAGTTTCTTGTCAGAAGTATCTTTCCTACTTTCAGATCCAATAGGTCTCTCTGAAAGCCCTTATCAGGGAACATCTAAACAGACTGGACATATATTCATTCATGGGACCTGCTGTCATGCAGCCACAAATACTGAAGGAGCCAGATGATGCAGTTGCAACACTACTCTCAGTTTTCTTTGGAATGCCGTAATGATCCTTAGTCCTTCCTAAGGACTAGAAAAGAGCAAATCTCAAGAAAAGCAAGAAAGAGGATCCAAGGAACAAAAGACTAGTCTGCCTGGCACTGACTCTGGGAAAGGTGATAGAACAAATCCTTATGGAAATTATTTTCAATAATATGAAGGTAATTGGCATTTATTCACATTGACTTCCAAAGAGATATCAAGTCTGATCAAATTCTGCAGTGAAACAATTTGCTTCCTAATGAGAGAAACTGCCTGAACTGCTGAGCTTAAAGGGTTGCTACCAGTGGCATAAGGGCCACACATATGGTTAAGAGATTAGAGGATCTGACATGTAAAGAGAGTGAGAAATCTGAAATTATTTAGCTCAAGAATAGAAGGTTTGTAGAGTCAAATCTAGCAGCTTGTATAAATACCTGATGGAGGGGGTAGAGCAAGGAATATAGAACCAAATTCTTGGTGGCATTTAGTGAAATGATAAGCAACAATGGACACAAATAAAAATACAGGAAATTTCAATTCAACATAAGAAAAACTACCCTTACTTTGTGTATGATCAATTGTGGTCATAGGTTGTCTAGGGAGGCTGCAGTTTTCATTTTTGGAGCTATTCAAAATCTTTCTGGACAAGGCTTATGCTCAGAGAAATGAAGTTGGGCTAGATTTTCAGAGATCTATTACAACCTCGGTCATCCTGTGAAAGGTTCTCAGTGCATCCTTGAAACTCTCCCCAAATTCTTCCTTTTGCTATTACTGTCCTTTACATGAATATTAAGGAGTTGGTGTTCCAGAGTTGGAATGATCACATCCTGCAGCTCATCTTCCTCTTTAGTATTTTCACACAATAAAAACAGCAGTGTCTCCCCTTTTCCCCAGCTTCTCTTGGTGTAGCTGAGCCAAATCCTGTCTTTGGTGCCTACACTTTTGGTTTCCTCATTTGCACTCAAGGGACCTCAGATTGCTATCAGTGTGATCCTCTTCCCAGAGTCCCTCTGGCACCAATTTGTGCATGTCAAGCACATCTTCCCTCTTCTTTATGTACCTCTTCACTGTCCCCTACTCGGCTCCATTTGGAGGTAAATATTGGTGCCAGCATTGTTTATTAACAATGGACAGTGGGATGGAGTGCTCCACAGCAAGTTTGTGGACAATTTCAAGTGGGTGGGGAAGGTGGTCCATACACTGGAGGGGAAGGCTGCCATGTAGCGAGCTCTCACAGACTGAAGAAAAGGGTTAACAGGAATTTTCTGTAAGAGCAGGAAGTTTCAGTAAGAGCAAATGTATGAAATTCTGAGGCTGGGGTGGGATAACCCCATCCTACAGTACAGATTGGAGG